GTGATATAGTGTCATATAGCTAACATGGAAAAACGTATATTAAATATAAAAGTACCCTGATCGGGTAGGGTTATTTTGATCTTAAACTCGACCCGAACCTAAATATATTATATATAAAACTCGACTTGATCTGATTCGAATTTAATTTTTTTTATAAAAAAAATCAATCCTATTGGGTCGGGTCGAAACCCGTCGAGTCCGGATCTCATGCTCATCCCTAAGTATAAGGTCTAATTTAGTCGGGTTTGTGTATAGGGTGAATTTTTTTTATGTGAGTTTGTCTTAAGGATAGTGTAATTATCTTTTATATATTTAAAAATATTAAAATATATATATATATATATATATATATATATATATTTAATTATATCTTCATTCATCAAATAAAAGCAAGATTATACATATATTCATATTTGGATTGGATGAAACTTTTATCAGTTCATGTTAAAATATAAACCTAAGTAAAGTTTGAATATACAAAAAAATCAATTTGATCCAACTTAGGTTGATTTCTAGCGGTAAGACAAATTTGATAATAAACACTATCTTTATAGTTGTTGGTGTTCGAACGCGTGACCTCTAATAATAATAATTCTATTTTTAAACCACTAAGATAATTTTATCCGTGCGACGGTATATATAACTGGCTTGACCCGTGACTTGTTTAATTCTGTTGTCTCTCACTTAGTACAATGTTTCCTACTGCTCCACATATGGCCATAAAGAGCTAAACAATAACAGAGAGTCACGAGACTTGTTGCTTTTTCATAACCAAAAAGAAACCCTCCATTCTCATCTACAGTTTGCCATTGTTGTTTATTCATCATCATTTGTGTGTTCCCAATCACACATCGGTCAAACCAGCTAGCTTTCCACAGATTTCTCAAAAGTGTAACCTCGGGCCATAAATGGATTCACATGAAGATCATTGCAGACAAATTTCTATAGGCACTTCACAGGATTACAGTAACGTTGACCATGGGTCCAGGAGACAGCCATTCACGACACAAGCAGAGAAAAACAATGGAACATTAAGTATACTGCGAGTTGGATTGATATTCGATCAAGTCGATTCTAATTTTAAAATTCTCAAACTATTTCGATTCGAGATAGTTTTGATGTCCAGCCATTTCGGATTTTGATCAATTCGAGTTGTTGAAAGGTACATGTTAAAAATTCAAAGTCATAATGCTAAAATATACTTGTAATTTTTGACTAAATAGTCATTTTCTCTTATATTTATGTTTCGGAGAATTTTAATCTCGACGTTTCATTTTGAAGCAAAAATGTTAAATAATCACTTTATTCATATTTTTTTTAGTATTTTGGTCTTAATATTTTATTTTAGGACAAAAATACCCATATTTTAGAATGTTGACAATTTATTGACTAATAATTTCCATATACAGAGGGGGGTTTTCCCGAAAATAAAATATTAGAGGTCAAAATGTTAAAAGAAAAGAAAGAAAATGGATCAAAATGACTATTTAATCAAAATGTTAGTGACATTTTATGTCATTATACCATAAACAAAACAAGGCTAGCCTCCAAAATGCCCTTCATCCGACAACCAGCACTTGGCACGTGTCTTCAACAATCAGAAAAGAACAGCACTTTTCTATATACATTTGTTCTTTGAAAATTGTAACTATGGAATCAGAATTATAGCTTTACTTCCAATTTTAGTCCTTCCTGCTCAACTTTGATACATTTTCTCAGATTGGTTTGGCTTCAGAACATTGTCCATTGCTAATGGAACTTGCTCGAGGATTATTATTCTTTTCGATTTCAGCAATTCTCTACCTTCATCTCTGCACAAGCAATTTGAGTGCCAGATATCATTACCACAAGAAGCACAAGCCTAAGCACTCCAATGGAAGGCCTCCTGCTAATGTCCCTGACCCTCCATCTATTCCTTCGGACCCGTACCCGAACGATCCCGTCAATACACTGGACTGCATTTTCGATGTCATGTCGTACGGTGCGGTGGGGGATGGTTGTTCGGACGATACCACGGCATTCAAGGAAGCATGGAAAGCTGCTTGTGCAGTAGAGTCTGCCACTCTTTTAATTCCTTCAGATAAAAGTTTCATCATAACTTCAACTATCTTCTCAGGGCCATACAAGCCAGGACTCTTCTTTCCAGTAATCTTATTTTTTTGCTCATTTTAGGTATAATTGGGTGTCATTTAGTTTTCTAATGGTGGAGGGTTGTGTCATTGAATATGAAAGGTTGATGGGGTCCTAATGCCACCGGATGGACCGGATTGCTGGCCGAAAGCAGATAGCCGTCAACAATGGCTCGTGTTTTATCGAATATACGATATGAAACTCACCGGGAACGGAGTCATCGAAGGAAATGGGCAGAAGTGGTGGGATCTCCCTTGCAAACCTCATAGGGGAATCCATTTTTCTAATCAACTCATAAATACTTTTTCATCCTTGAGTAAAATCATGCACATCTGAGCTCTTGTGATGCTACTAATATAGGGTCCAAATGGTTCAACTCTGCCAGGGCCATATGACAGCCCTGCTGTAAGTATAGTTTGAACTCGAGCTACATTCAGTGACTCATGGTGTGCAAATCAGATCATTTTCGTGTTGCTTCTTGCATTTGCAGATGATCAGGTTCTTTATGAGCTCCAATTTAGTAGTCAGTGGCATAAAGATCCAAAACAGCCCTCAGTTTCATATGAAATGTGATGGGTGCGAAGGGGTCTTGATCGACAAACTGTTGATAGATACCCCTAAACTTAGCTCGAACACCGATGGGATCCACCTCGGAAACACGAAATCTGTCGGAATATACAATTTGATGATAACCAACGGTAGGGGAAACGAAACCTGTGTGACTGTCTGTTATACTCAGATTGAGTATTATTACATTTAATGATCCAACTCTCATGATTTTAAACAGGAGACGATTGCATTTCCATTGGTCCGGGATGCTCGGATGTACACATCGAAGGTGTCACTTGTGGTCCTAGTCACGGAATCAGGTATACTACCCCTTTCAAAGTATGTTTTCCGTAGCCACTATCGAAAAGTTACATTAATTTTGAGTTTCGAATTTCTGCAGCATTGACAGCCTTGGAGTGCATAATTCCCAGGCATGTGTTTCGAACATAGCCGTCCGCAACTCAATGATAAAAGAATCGGACAACGGGGTTAGGATCAAGACATGGCAACGGGGTGCAGGTTCTGTATCAGGCATATCATTCGAGAACATCCAGATGGAGAACGTTAGAAACTGCATAAACATAGACCAATAATACTGTCTGGAAATGGCATGCCTGAACCAAACGTCGGCGGTTTACGTGTCGGACATGCAATACAGGAACATCAAAGGCAGCTACGAAATGAGAACTACTCCCATCCATTTCGCGTGCAGCGACACGGTGGCTTGCACGAACATAACAATGGCTGATGTCGAGCTTATGCCGCACGAAGGTAAATTAATGGAGGAACCATTTTGTTGGAATGCATATGGAATTGAAGAGACATTAAGTATACCCCCCATTGGTTGCTTGCTCAAAGGGATGCCCCAAACTATAGCAGAGACTCAGTATAGCTGCTGAGAAATGAAAATGGTGGATATATATATATATATATATATATATATATTGTTGATTAATATTATTATAGAAACACTATGTTGTTGCTTTAGGCTTCATCCGTCCCTGTTAAGGTTGTTTTTTCCCTTATAGTGTGCGATGAGATGAGTCTTCAGAATGAGATGTACTAGATTGCATAATAAATGCCAATTGGGTCTATTAGTGCTTTTATGACATCCTATTATCCTTGTGAAATACTTTGAGGGGATGGAAATCCCATATTCCCATGTTTGGTTGGTCGGAAATCTCATTCTCGGTAATGTTTTATTACCAATAGTAGATTTTTTGGGATATATTACCGGGAGTGTCATTATCTCTCTTCCCTTAGGTATTGTAACATTACCGGTGTTTTGGACTAAAATGCCCTTAAATTTTTATTTTTTTCAAAAATATTCTTCTTCTGTCATTGAATAATAAAAACTCTACGAATGTTAAAATTACAAATTTATCCTTAAATTATTTTAGATTTACAAAAAAAAATCTATAATTAAAATTTTATATAAAATTCAGGGGTTAAAATTTTTTTTACCCTTTCATTATACCTTTTTTATATTTTTAATTTTGTAAAAAAAATTATATAAATATTATGAATTTAATTTTTTAAAGAAAATATATAAATATTTTACAATTTGTAATATTATACAAATATATAATAAGGACAATTTGGTCAAATATACATTCCATTAATCTTTTATTCCTTTAACCAAATACGATAATCTTATATTCCTGTTAAACCAACCAAACACAAAATACAACATTCCAGTAATCCTATTCTCTGGTAATCTTCTATTCGACTGATAATCTTACATTTCGTGAACCAAACGCACCATGAGAATCTACTTATAACTTTTATGAATTTATTCAAATTAAAATTAAAAAATTGAGATACAATGAGAAATTTAAAAAGTAAAGGAGAATTTAATTAAAAATATTTAAAGAAATTAAATTTTAATAAAAGCTTTAAAAAATTTAAAAGAATTAAGTTAAAAGTTTTAATCAAATTTTGTGAAGGATGAGACGGGTCATATCGAGGTTGAGTTTAGGATAAAAATATATGACATAACTAAAAATAATAGTATAATTTTTTTATTTATATATTTAAAAATAATTATTATAATACTCATTTATATATTTTTTAATTAACTATTTATTTTATCAAACAAAAATATGAATTTTATATTTAGATCAAGTCGAAGATGCAAGTTTTTATTTTACAATTTAAATCAAATAAAATTTTTCTGAAATTCAATTCGAATTTAAAAAATATATAATTCTCGAGTCGGATCGGATTGGGCGTTTAGCTTAGTTTTAAAGTCTAACTGAAGCAATATGAGCCACTGTATAAGTATAAGGCCCAAGTATTAGATCGTTTCATTCCAGTTCTTCCTTCGCCGGTTCTTCCGGTTTCCGGGTGCTAAGCTGCCGCACGAGGTTCGATCTTCCTATAAAGCATCTCCATCGGTTCATTTTTTTCTCAGCTCTTCAATTCACCATTTCTTTAGTTTTCCCCCTTTCAAATTTCTGTTTTCTCCGTGCACTATTAATTCATTGCCACGTCTGCGAATTATTTGATCAGATAAGAAGAAGAAGAAAATGCCGTCTTTACAAACAGCTCTGCCACCTGAGCTTGCTAACAATGTCATCAGAGTTAGTATCCTTCCATTACCTTGGGTATTTTTTTTTATTTGAATTCATGAATACACTGTAATGAAACTGATGCCTTCTAATCTTTGGTTGCGATTTAATTCTTGGCTTCAGCTTTACCGGGAGTGTCTTCGGAGAGCTAAATATATAGGCCACAAGGTATCCTCAATCGTCCTTCATAATTATCCTGTTTTCTGTACTCGGAGGAGTTGTTCAGTCTATGAAAGTACTAAATTTTAACAATTTTGAGGTCATTTTATTGTCTCATTTATTTACTGTATACGGTATACTTACCTTGAATCTCCTTGTTTCATGGTTTGATATCATATACTGTTAGCAAGATAAATGGTGAGAGTTATTACAGAAGGGAATTGCAGGCTTCCATGCTAAAGTTCAACCTGATTGAGGCCTTTTTAATAATATTATCATCTTTCTTGATATGCTGGCTGCAATAAAAATGTCCCTTGCAGATTATAGATTCTAAATCGCAATAAACAGGTCTTGGACTGGTCATTTTTTAAGATTTTATTTGCTTGCCTAAGGGGAGCTTACCTCTGAATTAATACACCCCAGAAGAGAATAACAAGGATGATGGTGAATATGTTTAGATTGCCATTGATAAAACTGGGGAAGTGCTTTCAAATGATGATAAAAATTTGGTCAGAAGATAAGGGGAGTTGAACGCTTTTGATCATTGGTGCAAAAGATTTTGGATCAAGAACCTGTGCCTTATAATTTTGACAAGCCTTCTATTTAATTGAGGCTACCAGTAGTGTTTGTTTGCATGCATACTTAATAGGCCACTAAACATCATGAAACAAAGTCATTCTTTCTTTTATTGTCTGTAATATATTGTGAATATATGGAAACTAACTTGAACCAATATTTAATTTACTCTGCAGCAACATAATACTGCACTGGTTGTTGATATGGTGAGACAGCAGTTCAAAAAGCATATGCACGAGACAGATCCCGAGAAGATTCAGAAGCTGAAGGATGAGTAAGTCTTAACTTGTCTTGTTTCTTACATTTTTCAAGCCATTTATTTGGGGTATCTGCTTGGTCTGTTGCAGAAGCATGTAGTTAATATATTGGTGATATATTACGAGAGAACAGTCTTTTTATTACTTCAGCTTAAAATTTGACTTCATGTCTTCATTCTGGATTGAAGGAGATATGCTTGCATAGATGTTTACACATTCAACTCTTTCATAGCATTGTTCTAATTTTTGTTGTTTGCTTTTGCAGTGCTGCAAGGGGATTAATTAACCACATACTCTACGAGTCTGAGAAGCTGTCTGGAAGAAAGTTCAGCAATAACTCTTGATAATTTCAGTTTTTATTTGATAATCAGTACCAGACAGTTTTCACGACTATTCAACCAAGTAGTAAAGAGATGCTTGAATTTTGGGGTCTCTAATGATTTTCATGGTGTCATGCATCATGTTTAAAGAAACTTGCCATAATTATTTACTTGATATACATTGTGTGATGCATTATACTGGAGTAGTTCCAAGTTATGCGAGTTGAAGACAGTTGCATCATCACGTAAGGATGCCGGTTTCCTTTTCCTTCTCTGTTTAATGCATGTATACCATTCATCATTCATTTAGCTTTGCTATCCTCCACCAATATATAAATTTATTCGCGCATGCACGCATTACTCATACATGTATACAACTCACGATTGCATCGAGAATGCGTTCCTATAATGTACTTTTCATAGAATTATAATTTTTTCTTTACTAACCAATAGCATTATTTTGTGGTCATCCGGATCTGGTTTTGGTCAGTAGATTCAGATGAAAAGAATGTATTGAACAAAAGAATGGTAGATATGAGGGAAATGCATTCTAGATTTCCTTGATGTTCATCAATCTATTCTCTGCCTATTCTTTTGGCAGCTTTGGTCCATTACTTGATTAATACCATATTCTTAACCATTTTTCCTAGATTTGATAGCCTGGCTTCGTTTGTTCTTGGACTGAATGGCCCTCTTGCAACATTCCTAGGACTTCTTTGCTCCACTCCGTTTACTTGGGGGCTGTACCCCTGTTCCAAGAAACGTGGGCTTTCAATCTCAGTGCCCTCTTTGGATGGTGTTGCAGTGGAGCTTGTTTGCTTTAGGCTGCACATGCGTCTGATTTCACCCTTGCTTCGTGTTATCATTCCATCTAAAATCTCTCCATCATCGGCAAAAGAAGCGGTAGTAATCAGCTCTCCTTCCTGTAGTTGAAAACCAGGCATTAACAGAAAATGGTCTCAATGTCATTTGTGTTGGGCTGTAGATCAGCCCAATGTCCTAGGAACAGGGCAATTATGTAAATATATACTATATAGAATGCAAAGGCACCCTAATACTATGTTGCTGCAAATCTTCATAATTCTTGAAGCATCCATGTCCATGACATTCGGAAACTCACCCTTATCCAACACTTGGGTTTGAGTAAGTTAATCAGGGGTAAAAGAATTATAATAACTTACAGTGACAAGGCTGAATGGCACAGCTGGTGACTCCTCATACTCTGCAGCATCTAAATCTTGAAGATGCGCCCCTTTGAAAAAATTGGGTAAAATGTATTGTCTCACAGGAACAAGAAGCATGATCATTAATGGGAAAAGAACCCCAGCAAGTGGGATCCAAGTAATCCCAAAACAAACTAACAAGTAAGCAGCTTGGAAAATTGTAAATACTGCAATTGTCTTGAAAGGCACAGTTTCCACAAAGGTTGCATGGTACTCCTCCAATACTCTGAAACAAATGTGATTCAGTCAAAAAAATTCAAGTGCTCTTCAAGATGATAAAGCAAATGGATTTACGAGTTTACTTGTATCGTCTGCTCGGTGCCGTGAAGAGCAACAATATCCGCTCCCAGAACTGGTTCCCTGGCAAGCTTTCAATGGCCATGAATGCAAAGTAGCCCCAAAGCACAGAGGTCGGGATCCTTTTAATGAAAGGCATTGCTGCAACGCATCCTCCGACCATTATAGCTTGAAGCAAGTTACTTAGCCGCTGTTCTTTTACCTCGATAGGCAGCAGATCATCAATTTCCTTCTCAACGTCAAATACTGTCTCATCAACAGGGGCATCAATATTTCCCATGCTTGAAGCCATTTGAATCGTTGATGCTTTCAGTTCATTTAATCCCTGTTCAGAAAAGAAGCTTAGGCCGGGTTACTTGAAAAGTAAAAGTTTTTTAACTTTCGGGATCCAAAAAGGGGTTTAAACAGTGCAAATGTGAAGGAATCGTTATAAAGTCGGTACCCTAGCAGCAGGTTCTTGGTAAACCAGTGGACTCTGCATTTGTTGATAGGCTTCTTGCATGCTGTCATACACTTGTCCTAAGCTTGCATTATTATGCATACATTTGCGGGCTGTCGCTACTATTCTGTTTCGAAGCAACTGATAAAACCAGAAAAAAAAAACGTTTTAATCTATCGATGCTCATGGCCGTGAGACAATGAATAATGATGCTGAGGCACTTGACAACTAATTCGATATAATTACTTGATGCTTCAATGTAACCAAGCTTTTAGTATGCATAGGAGACTGAGGAATGACACCATTTGCCGGAGGGATGCCAATAAGACCACATAATATCGTCTGCCATCAATCACCAAATTTATAATCTTAAGTTGAGCGAACTCGATACTAAACACGATAAAGGTAACAGAACACAAAGCACCTATCAAAATGGATAAAGTGTGGAACAGGAAGTCCATGTACCAAAAATCCAAGAAGAAGCAAGTCATAATGGAAAGAAGGTGGTTTCCTCAAGTTGAATTCCTTCTGCTGAGCTAGTTGCGAAGCTACACTGTGATCAAAATAATACAGGACAGCGATCATTGTTGCTGGAATGAAAGCTCCGATTATATAGAGAACCGGAACCTTTAGCATGTCCTGTTAGTTTTTGTCATTAATCATCATTCATCAATGTCTTTTCCTTTGTTTCAGAAAACAAACAGAAAGAAATAAGTTTTTCATAAAAGTTAAAAAGGATGACTCATTTACCTTCATGACAGTCCAATTTTCATATGCACCTGGGGACCATGGATTTGGACTGAAAAGGCGCCTCGGAATTCCTTTCGGAATACTTCCTGACGGTATATAAGAAATAGCCGTCCATACTAGAAGCATTAATGGCACCCCATAGTCTGCTATGAAGCCTCGCAATGATCCTTGAGAAGATAAAGATATTCAAGCAAATTTTCAGTAAGCTGACACTTAATCAACATGATAGAATGAAAAAAAAGATTCGAGATTAAGTGAAATGAAGGTTTTAAGGGCTTATCGGATGATAGCCTATAATAGCTAATGCATTTGGTTTCTCTTATATTTATGCTGGATATATGAAGTTATGAACTTTGTGTAGTGGGACGAGATTCGAGAAGCATGCAAGAATGCTAACAAAAACTCACCAGATCCGTATCTCCAAGATCGTGCTTTTCGGCTTCTTAATGCAGTAAACAGAAGGCCAAAGGACAGAACCAAAGCAAACATTCCATTCGCAAATCTCCATGAAGGTTGAAACTCAAGCAACTTCGTATTTTCTCTTTCAGGTACACGAAACTCGTCAACAAGTCCCTGGTAAGCCCAATTCAACAGTTTATAGTTTGAAAATCATGACTGCTTGAGACACACAGGCTTCAAGCAACTTTAAACTTTTATTTGTTTGTTTGAATAAGGAGGATAGAATAAATCAAGAGGTTTCTCACCTTAATAGCTTCCTGCATGAAGAGCATTGCGATAAGAAGGCCAAACAACTCACCGGCAAGACGAGTAAATCTGTTGATAATGGAGCAAGCTCCTAAGATAGCCAGCATAAACAGCAAGATTGCAGTCCACACACATACCCTGCAATTATATATCATAAATGTCAATGAAAATCAATCATAATGAACATAATGTGCGGAGCAAGGAGTTGCAATATGTTGGGGAGAAACAAAGAAGATACCATGCCGTCCATGCAAGAAAGAGCTCGGATCCCAAATCTGGCCTATTTTTGGCGAAATTGAACATAAATGTGTACATAATCACAGTTGGCTCTGCAACTCCAAGGATCAGCAAAGGCTGACCTCCTATAATAGAGTGTATTATTCCACACAGTGCCGTGGCGGCCAATGTTTGAACCGCTGTGAGAATTCCATCTGTTAACACAAAGGAACAACCAAAACCATCATTCTCAAATCTTTTTAGCCTGAAATTTCATCTCCATTCAATAAATTAAGTGGAAAAAAACTTGAACAAAAATCACATTCTTACCTGTTTCTCTTTCCAATTGTTCTCCAAATGAAATAACTGGAATTGCAGATGCAAAAAATATATATGTGGTGGGGGCCAAAATCCTACAAAAATCATAAAGCAAAGATCAAAATTTCTACAAGTGGTGGTCTAAAGGGCATCAAAATTTCTACAAGAAAAATGAGGTACCTGAAACCTGCACCGAGACCACTGATCCAGTCTTGCTTGTAGCACTTTAATCTCCCTCGAATGTCGTTCTCGATGCCGCGAAACGGTACAAAACTCTCTTCCATTGCCTATTCTACAAACTAGGGCAACTAAGTTCTAATGGACTCAACTCTTCAACTGCTACTTGAGTATAAGCTGCACATTGGAGATAAACAATCTTAAATCTGTCAAGAAAATAAATCCATATGAAAAAATCAGCTCAAACCTTAGAAAGATGCTTAATATCTATATTTTGCTATAGCCAAACTCAGGTATTGATTTAAATTTGTACATTACAAGCAAAACACAAAAAAGAAAGAGAATCTTAACAGCATTACACCAAATTCAGTATTGAGTTTAGAGTTCTGGGCATCCATCAAAACCCAGAATAAGAATGCCAAGCAAATTCAAAATCGATTCGAGCATTGGGTGTTTTTAGTTGCAGAAAAGGCTACCCTTTTAGCTTATATTGAAGATTCATCTTCCATAAAGAAAAAGTTGGTAGGTAGCAGCTTGAATGGAATATGCACATTTGGAAAAAGAGGAGATTCAAAGGTAGTAGCTTTCACGGAAATAAAGAAACAAAAATGGCAATGACGATCATTTAGAGTACTCACCACCAAGTGAAAACCAAAGATAAAATGCTGGGCTTTCTTTCTCAGAATTTTTAGAGATGACAAACTTATAGAATAAGAGAGAGTGCCAGTTTATGACAACCTGTCTTGCAAAGAAGCATCCAAGAAGTAGTTCTTTACTAATCTCCATAATACAGTTCCTCTCTCTCTCTCTATTTTAGTTTAATAGGTGTCTAAATTATATTTATATTAATTTTTAGTCTCTAATTTTTTTATTTAAAATAAATACAAAAAAATTTACCTTAAATTTTAGTTGTTTATCTCTCTCTCTCTTTTAGTTTAATAGGTGTCTAAATTATATTTATATTAATTTTTAGTGTCTAATTTTTTTTATTTAAAATAAATACAAAAATTTTACCTTAAATTTTAGGTATTTATCTCTCTCTCTCTCTCTATATATATATATATATTAGTTTAATAGGTGTCTAAATTATATTTATATTAATTTTTAGTGTCTAATTTTTTTATTTAAAATAAATACAAAAAAAATTACCTTAAATTTTAGGTGTTTATTGTTTTATTTTTTAATAATAAAAATATTATTTCTTTCACAAAAATTAAAAAAATAACCCATCGGATGGGGAGTGGTGTTTCCAGTGGCGGACGGGGAGTGGTGTTTCCCGTGACGGACGGATGAGTAACGCGTAAGAACCTGCCCTTGGGAGGGGAACAACAGTTGGAAACGGCTGCTAATACCCCGTAGGCTGAGGAGCAAAAGGAGGAATCCGCCCGAGGAGGGGCTCGTGTCTGATTAGCTAGTTGGTGAGGCAATAACTTACCAAGGTGATGATCAGTAACTGGTCCGAGAGGATGATCAACCACACTTGGACTAAGAGACGACCCAAACTCCTATGGGAGGCAGTAGTGGGGAATTTTCCGCAATGGGCGAAAGCCTGACAGAGCAATGTCGTGTGGAGGTAAAAAGCCCACGAGTCGTGAACTTCTCTTCCTGAAGAAGAAGCAATGAGGGTATCTGGGGAATAACCATCGGCTAACTCTGTGCCAGCAGCCGTGTCGTTCTTTTCCCTTCCATCTCTCCATTTCCAGAGATTACGAAATATCATCACTGATTGAGTTTTGTTCAGAGTAGGGTAAAGAACTCAATGATGACGGTCGTGTGTAACATATAACCAGCTATAGTAGTCGGAATCGCTGGAAAATAATGAAGGAAAACTTAAAAAACCAGCAACTCTTCAGGACACTTTTCACAATGATCGGTGTAGTTTCACGGCGGGTGAAACACTGATTTTGGTAGTGATTATAAGACGGTTCTGATAGTGTCAACGATGATGGCTACGGACCGACGATGGAGTTTGGGTTTTTAATTATAATATCAAAATCTTTTTTAAATATATATTTTTAAAAAAAAAATATATGTAAATGTCGTCTATTACAATCCAGATAATTAAAAGTGTAACGTTGAAAATGTTAGGTACTTAATTTTAACAAAAAAATTTAGACATCAAAAATCAATTTAAGTATAATTTAAACACTTAAAAATATATTAAACCTATTTCTATGTAGGTATAATAACATTTTAAATTACTCCGTACTCATCATAAATTAACTTTAGATTTCCTTGTCACACAACATTATTATTGAGCGACATTTTTACATTTCTAAGACAAATATTGAGATTTGAACTCTCATAAAATATATACAATATAAATATTTGTATCACTTAATAGATCTCGATTTTCACGAGACTTTAACTTTTCATGTAAAAACTAAAGTTGTTTTTCTAATAAGACTTAAAATTTTAATTTTAATTTATCAACTAATAAATAAAATATCAAAACTACAATAAAAATATAATAGTTTATTTTATTTAATTAAGAGCTTTTAAATGATTTATCTGACAGTATAAAATCAATCATAAGGTGTTAAAAAATCATTTAAAATAATTCTAATTGATGAAAAAAATAACTTCATTTAAATTTAAATATTATTCGAATTGTTATAGATTTTAAATATTATTTAAATTTAAAATAATTCTAATTGATGAAAAAAAATCATTTTAATATTTAAATTTAAATTTAAAATAAGAGCTTTTAAATAATTTTCTGGTTTTTCTTGAATTTGATTTTTATAGTTTAGTATAATATTTAGATGTATAGTTGAGCTCTTTATACTAAATTGAGTAGCATAAATTATAGGATTTTGGCCGTTAATGTGAATCGCCAGTGTGGTTTCCTCAGAAGCAGAAAAGGCCGGGAACAGAGCTGTTATTATTAAAATGGTGGTACCAAACAATTAGGAAGAAGAAAGGATAAGGTGCCCAAGTTCAAGAATGTGAGTGGTCAAAACAAACGTGCCGACTCCACCTAAATCAGCGGTGGAATTAGGGTGGTAATTTAACCCCAAATCAATGTGTTTCTATCTGTCACAATTTAATAAGATCATATTTAAAAAAAAAGTTTATAGTTTAAATTGAATCGGTCAGATCTTTGAAGGGAATGGGGTCAGATCGGATGGAAGATGAAAAATTACGATCTAAACTGACCCAAAGATAATAATGTAATTTCTATAAAAAAATTTATAGATTTTTAATTATGTCTTTATTTATACCAGGTTGGGTCGAGTCAAAATCAGGTAAGAGATATATATTTTTCGGGCTAGATCGAATCGATTGGATGATATATAATTTTTGGGTCAGATTCAGGTGGATGATACATATTTACGAGTTGGATCGAGTTGACCAAAAACCTGACCCGACCCGACCCGACCCGTTGTCATCCCTAGGTGAAATGGTAAATATAAAGTTATTAAGTAATTTCAATAATAAAAGTAAATATTATATTTTTAAAAAAATTAAATTGAAGTAGTTGAATTTAAAGGAAAGTATACAAATGATTTCTCGACTATAGAACGTTGTTTTGTCGAGTCTTTCAATTACTAAAAGTTATAAAATTATCCCTCAAATATAAGATGTTTTCTTATTTAGTCCCTCAATTATTAAAGTTATAAAATAATCACTCGACTATTCATATATTTTAAATTAATCTTTTTTAGTTAAAATATTGACAATAATCTGAGTTGGATGTTAACCTGCTAATTGAGATATGATAAAATATGATCTTACAATCTCAAACGGCTATCATATCTCAGTCGGCATGTTAACGTCCAACTCAAATTGTAGTTAACTTTTTAACGAAAAATGATGAGTTTGGAACATATAAATAGTCATATGACTATTTTGTAACTTTTAATTGTAGAAAGACTTAACAAAGCACCACCGACTATTTTGTAACTTTTAATTGTAGAAAGACTTAACAAAGCACCACCGCATAGTCAAAGCATCATTTTGTAACTTTTAATAGTTGAAACTCAATAAAACATCTTATAATTGGGAAACTATTTGTATACTTTAACCTTGAAATTATTAGTGCATGTTATTAATAAAGTAAGAAAATAATAGATTTACATTTAGATTTATTTAAAAAAATTAAGTTTTTATTAAATAAAAATATAAGGTATAATGAAGATAATATAATCCTAACATAAAAAATTAAACGATGGAAGAAAAATAAAATCAAAATAGTCATTTGAATACATGTTTCTACTAAAAAATTAACAATTATCAATAATTTTTTGTCTCTAATTGAATATATACGTAATATTGATGAATGCGTAAAGATTAAGAAAATCAATATGACAAATTATTCCGTGAACTATTCTGAATGTATCGACAAACTACCATAAAAATAATCTAATTATCCCACACAGTGATAAATACAACACACAATACGAAACATCAAATTATCATAAAAATTGAATATAAATAAAATTTTAAGAATATACAATAAACCACTGTATAGCTCGACTAACAAGAAGATAAACCCTAGTGTTGACGTAGATGATAGGTTCAACAAGAAGCCTCGTCATCATCTTGAACTTTTAATTGCAACAAAGACATATGTCGTGTTGTAGATTTTTTAAGCTCCGTTAAAATCAAATCATAAAACTCATCTTTCTTGATCTTGACATCGAAGGAACTATAGAAATAAGTTCCATAATGGAACATAGTTGCAAAAAATATTGTCATTAATTTTCTTTATAGATTTTTTCCAAATCTCGCACTTTACATAATACGAGACCCTTGACATGTCAAATCAAATGTGTACACTACGGGTGCTGCCACGTCAGAAATCTCTGACAAGAAAAAGCGTTTTATAGAACGTTAGGTCATTGCCTATATAAGTCATCCTCTTCTTATGGCATTCTAAATTATAACGCAGTGTCTACTTAAAAGGGGCTCCTCTTCTGGTGGCACGACTTGTCACGAAACTTAGAGACCCTTATGCCAATATTGGTGCTATAAGTTATTCCACCTAAAGAGGATGTTTTTTTATAAGGAGTCTGCCCTTTGATTTTCTCTTGCAGGTTATAGGTAAATCTTTCATATTTCTTCCGTCAAACATGACATTCTCGAGAAACTTCTTGTTTCATTAAAATATTTTTTCACATGAACCTTCTTCAACACGAGTATCATGACATTCTCGAGAAACTTATTATTTTTAAAAAAGCATCACCTTCTTTCATCAAATCAGTTGTTGATCTAAATAAACAAGTAGTTCGAGGGTGTTTGTTTCTATTGCAGTCGTGGGCATGATTTATGAATTCTGTTTTTGTTCTCAATTCACTCTCCATCAAACCCACCGATCTCATCAACCTTCTTCAACATGAGTAACCTAACCTTCTCGAGAAACTGATCATTTCTAAAAAGGTATCCACTTCTGGTGGCGTCATCTTCTTCCATCAAACCAACTGTTAATCGGAAAAAACAAGTCATTGAAATGTGTTTGTTGTTGTTACAGTCGTGGACGTGGTTCCTAAATTTTGTTTTTATGCCCAATTCACTCTTCATCAAACACATCGGTCTCATGAACCTTCATCAACACGAGTAACCTAACCTTCTCGAGAAAATTATTGTTTCTCAAAAGACATCATCTTACGGTAGCATCCTCTTCTTATCACTTGCTATGTTGATATAATAAATGAGATATTTTCACTCAAGAACCCAAGGTTTCCTTTTTATAT